TGTCGGGTTTGGGCGGAAATTCGTGGCAAAATGGAAGAAATTGGTGGATTTTGTAGGGGGGAAAGGTGGAGATGGATGGGGGAATGCTAGATCCACTTGAAACCAAGCAAATCCATGGATCAAATCCAACAAAATCTCAACAAACCAACAAATCACAAAAAAAATTGGGGCTATTTTTGGTGGGGAATTTTCGAAATTGGGGAAGAACACACACAATTAGGCTAGAAAACAAGATGGGGGGCTCCAATTTCGTGAGAAACCATGGCTCATGATACCAAGATGTTGTAGGGTGGAACCCTAAGTGAAGATCTTTCACGAATTGGAGGGGGAATCCCCAAGAACAAGATGAACACAAGAGAGAAAGCAAGAGGAACACTCAAGAACAAGTCCAAATCACACATCCACTAGACTAACAATCACACAAGATCCACAAGGTACATGAACAATCAAAGGGAAATAAGATACATGGTAGAGTTCATCCCAAATCCTATGAAGGAGATGAGGGCTTGATGATCCTATGATGGGGATCCTCCCCAAGGAGGAGGTCTTGATGTTTGGTCACTCTAAGAGGAGGTCTTGATCTCCTAGTGGAGTGGATCCATGGAGCAAAGCTCACAAATGTCTATCAAATACTTTGCTATCCTCTAAATGAGCTAGGAGATGCCCTTATATAGTTTAGGGACGAAATAAGAGAGGAGGGGGGATACAAGGGCAAAAAGCCCAAAAGGCACGCAGGCCTCGGAGTGGTGCAGGCACCCGGGGGAGTTAGGCCCGGGCACCAGGGGTCGGTGCAGGGGGCTGGGCGGCTTCGGTCGGGCACCCGGGGCCTCAAAGCCCGGGCACCCGGGGGCGTGCTGGGCCGGCGCGGGAGGTGGCCCGGGACCCGGAGTGGGCTGGGCTGGCGCGGGGGAGGGGCCGGGCACCCGGGGTTGGTGGCCCGGGCACCCGAGCAGGCTGGGCTGCTCCCAGCAGCAGGGCCGGGCACCCGGGGCCATTTGGCCGGGCACCCTGGCGGCCACCGCCAGCGCCAGCAAGGGGCCGGGCACCCGGGGCCTTCCTGGCCTGGCACCCGGGAGGCTCAAGGCTTCTCCCTCTTCACCCTTCTTCTTCGTAGCTTCGCGCTTCCCTCGCTCTTCTCCCTCCTTCTTCTCTTCATGTGCTTGTGCCTCCGTCCTCGCCTCTTCACGGTCTTGTTCTTGGTACCTACGAGTGCATAGAGTTTCCATATGAGGTAGAATCCGGCTCTTGAGTGAATCCGAATGAAACTCGAAGCGGAATGAGTTAACCTCGGGTTTGACGGTGCGTGCACGTGCTCTTGTCATCGGTCCTCGAGGTGCTTGACGAGTTGTAGTAGAGTCCATGGGGATGAGCGAGGGATGCTCCGCATCACATCACTTGGTGGTATTTGGAGTAGAGGGAGCAACCGCGACGCCCTTGTTTGGTTGAGTGTGAGGGGAAATGATGAAATGACAAAGTAATGCGGGGGAAATGATAAAATGACGGAGTAATGCATTAATGCCTTGGTATTGCACACCTCACCCATCATAACAAATCGGAAAACCCATATACCGATAAAAAATGAATCCATCCTGAATTTACAGTTACTAGCAAAAGAGCCCGTGCGTTCAACGGGATAACAAAATCGTGGTGTTCAAAGCAAGTTTCAAATATTCACACTTCATGTATATACACGTATTTGAATATTTGTGCACCACCGGCACGCATGCGAACATAAAACACGTGCATTCTAACATGCTCAAAATGGATTCATGTTGAACTTGATCTTTGAGGTGTGTGTTTTTAGTACGTCCTTGATGCGTGTTTAAGAAGGAAAAGAAAAGGTCAATCTCATGATATATGAAAAACCAGAGGGCCCTATGACATACGAATAATTCGGAGGAACACTCGCTTGTTCACGGGGTGGGTAATTTACTTCAACTTTAGGGGGGCAGTTTCGATGAGAGACGAAGAATTTAAAGAAACAATTAACAAAGTTTTTTTTATTTATGGATGGTGGGGTGGGTAATTTATTTATTTATGACAAGTAAAAGACTTTATTTCTCATAGAATGGTCATATCATTTACTAGGAGAAGAGAAATAAAATCTTGGGTAGAATTCTCCCACAGTCCAGACAATCGGCTATCAAATGAATATCTAACTAAACTATCAGCAACTTGATTCACTTCCCGGAAACAATGTTTATAACAATTTTTTGTGAAATCCATAGCCTAGAACCACAGCCACATCATCTCCAAGATAGTCATCCATTGATTGCATTGCTTCCATCGTGAGCATGCAATCAGACTCAATTCCAACACTATTGCAACCAATGTTTGCTATGAGATATAGTCCATTCCTGATGGCCTGAACCTCTGCTGATTCAACATCACGAATGTGTGTTAGAAACCAGTTTGCCACTGCAACAAAGTCACCATGGTCCTCGCGCACAACAACGCCATATGCGCCTGATACAATATTTTCATTGAAAGTTGAATCGACATTTATCTTGACCAAACCGTGACTAAGTTTTGCCCACATATGATCACGCTTCCAAACCGGTACCTGAGAAGTCATTGACTATGAAATTTATAGCTAGAACTCGAATAGATACTGTTGTTTTCTCCATTGTTGGACTCAAACTCCCTTAACCATCTGCCGATGTTGCCACCAGATGTACCACACCGCTACAAGGGTCAGTTCCGCCGCTGGGAGATCATTCGAAACATCAACAGTTTTGGAGAGAATTTAAGTGTTATCGATCCCGGTCGATCATCCAATATAGCTCTATTAATAACTTCTAGCAGACCAAGTGCATCACATATTTCTTTGCGCTGATTGCACTGAAACAAACAATGTTTAATATCTTCAGCTCCAATTGCACAAGTAGGACACTGGGTAATTTACTTCAACTTCGGAGGCAGTTACAATGATAGATGAAAAATTAGAGAAACAATTAACGAAGATTTTTTTTTCACTTACGGGTGGCACGGTGGGTAATTTATTTCAACTTTAGGGACAATTTCAATGACATGCGAAAAAATCAGAGAAATATTAACGAAGAGTTTTTTTCACTTAGGGGTGGCATGGTGGGTAATTTACTTCAACTTTATGGGCAGCTTAGGGTAGGTGGACGGACCAAAAATCGGAGAAATGTGTCGTCCTTTATTATTATGAATAATTTAGGGGAATGCTCGTTTTTTTCATTTTTACAGATGGTGGGGTGGGTAATTTACTTCAACTCTAGGGGCAGTTTCAATGAGAGACAAAAAAATTTAAATAAACAATTGAAAAAGAGTTTTTTTTTTCACTTTTGGGTGACAGAGTGGGTAATTTACTTCAACTTTAGGAGCGGTATCAATGACAGATAAAAAAAGAAATAATTAATGAAGAGTTTTCTTTCACTTATGAGTGTCATGATGGGTAATTTAATTCAATTTTAGCGGCAGCTTTAATGATCAGGAAAAAAATTCAGAGAAACAATTAATGAAGAGTTTTTTTCACTTATGGGTAGTATGGTGGTTTATAGGGTAGGTGGAAAAATCGTGGAAAATACTTTTTTAGGTATAAAAAGATAGATATATTTTTTTAGCAGAAAGATAGATAGATATAGAATAGGATTTGCGTTTCGCTTTTCAGCATACAAACGATTATTTTTTGGCAAAGCCGAAACAACCGATTTAAGGCCCAGCCCACTTACAGCCCAGCCGACCAGGCACTCCGCGTCCACACTCCACACCCCATTCTCCAAAAAAAAAAAACTCCACGCCCACGGAGTCGCGCAGGCGCGCACAGGCACAGCCACCGCAGCGCTGGCGAGCGAGACGCGCATGCCCAACCCTAGCGAAGCGAGTTGCGAGCACATCCCTGTATCGCCACGCCTCCGGGCTCCGGACCCGCTCCGCCGTCAGACGCCTGACCTACTCGCCTAGTCCTCGTCTGATCTCCGCCGCCTCCGGCACCGCCTGCCGCCCACCGGCCCTCGCGTCCAGGGCTCCCGGCGTTCTCCATCCCCGGCTCCCCCCACAGCCTAAAAAACTGCAGGTAAAATCCTCGATTGATGTTGGCTGTTATGTGCGGTGTTGCTAGTCTGCTAGTGCTGGATTAACACAATTGGAGGAACTTGCGGCTCTAAATCTAGCTCTGTATCTTTCATGTTCCTTTTTTGTGTTCTTCAGAAGTTCAGGTCATCAGATGGCTGAGACTGTAAGCTGCTTGGGTTGTGCTAAACTTGTAATGCACCTTCCCCAATTAGTACTAAACTGTAATCTTGTAAACTATTGTCGTAAACTGGTAATGCTCCTGCCCCATGGGCCATGGCCATGGGGGATTGTGAGGTTGTGTTCTTCTGCTCTGTTATTATTAACTTACTCCCTCCGTCCCAAAATTCTTGTCTTAGATTTGTCTAAATACGGATGTATCAAGTCACGTTTTAGTATTAGGTACATCCGTATCTAGACAAATTTAAGACAATAATTTTGGGACGGAGGGAGTATTATTTTTAGCCAAGCTACCACTAGCTTAGCTAATAGTTATACTTGGCGTTTTGCTAGCTTCGTTTTTGTGTTGTGTATAACAGCCCTGCCCCGTGCACTGTTGTATAGCATGTTCACTTCTCAGCTTTTCACACATCATGTGGTCTGCTTGCTCCCAACCCCTCACTAGTTTGTGAAGTTTTCACAAAATGTTGTTCTCTTGTTTTTCCTAAATTCGTGTCAACTTTGGTTAATTTGTGTAAACCGAAACCATGCCCAAGCCCAATGCATAGAGTTACTCCTCCTTGAAAAAGCTGTCTATGTTCCTCTCTTATGCTCAGATCCACACTATCCCTTCTTGAAATTAATCATGGTTGTGGACAGGATGGAGTCAGCATCCAAGGAGAAGGTGACAGCGTCGAGGTGCTCCACACACAAGGAGGAGGGAACACACATCTTTGAGATCGCCGGGTACAGCCTCAAGAAGGATATGGGTGTCGAGAAGTTCGTCCGGTCGGTCACCTTCACTGTCGGTGGGTACGACTGGTCCATCAGATTTTATCCCGAAGGTACCACCGAGTCGCCCGAAGGGTGTATGGGGATCTGTCTTGAGCTCATGAGCAGCAATGCCGAAGTGCGGACATTCTTTCGGCTTGGATTGGTAAAGCATGAGACAGGGTTGATTGGCTCAATGTTTACGCCAAACAATAAGGTGTTCAGCTCCAAGACCAGGAACAGTCGTGAGTATCATCTGTTCATACTAAGAAGCAGTCTTGAGGCGAAACCAGTAAAGTACCTTCAGGATGATTTTCTCATAATCAAATGTAATATTACGGTAATCAAAGAATCTGAGGTTTATGAAACCTTGGGGCACTCTGAAATTGAGGTGCCACCGTCAGACATCATGGAGCATCTCGCAAACCTGTTGGACACTAAGGAGGAAGCAGATGTCACTTTCAGTGTTGGAGGCGAGACCTTTCAGGCGCACAAGATTTTGCTTGCCATGCGATCACCTGTCTTCAAAGCAGAACTCTTTGGGCCGATGAAGGAGAAGAGGATGCAGTGTTTGACCATCAAAGACATGCAGCCCGCTGTTTTCAAGGCTCTGCTGCATTTCATTTATACAGATTCATTGCCTGACTTGGATGATCTTGAAGGCGATGATAAGTGTGAAATGATCCGGCATTTGCTGGTAGCTGCAGATAAGTATGCCATGGACAGGCTGAAGGTTATGTGTGAAAACATCCTTGGCAAGAGTCTTGATGTGGAGAACGTGGCAACTACATTGGCTTTAGCTGATCAGTATAGCTGTGACAAGCTTAAAGATGTTTGCATTGAATTTATTGCCTCTTCAGATAAGATGGATGATGTCGTGGCAACCAAAGGTTATGCAAATCTCAAAAGATCTTGCCCGTCTGTCTTGATAGATGCTTTAGAGAAGAGAAGCAGGCCTCGCATATAAAGCAGCTCATGCGTACTAAAATCAGTTACATGCGGTTGTTGAGGTTTCTTATGTTATCTGCACCTTTCCTGAAACTTTTCGACGCTCAAATAGTGTAATAGCATGTGTGAACTGTTATCATCTCAAAATGAATGAATGTTAGTATGTTACATAACAGTATCTTGTTGCTTTGGGAACATAACCACATTACATCATAAATAACAACTACATTATACAACCGTGCTGTTAACTGTCTTCCTTTGGGAACTGGAAGATGTCACATCATATACAATCTGGTGCATATGAAAAGAAAAAAACTCGGCGTATAATTATTCAAGGCCCAGAAGCTGTGAATACATTCACGTGGTATTCATATTTTCGGAAACTTATATGATTGGTTGTATATATAACATTGTGAGGAATGAATGTTCCTGATTTTTTATTGATCCACTGCAACCCTTAGATGTACTTATATTTGTCTGGGATACTACTGAACTGAGCCTGGAGGGTAAAGTTTACTCAATTTATTCGGTCACTTGATAAACTGTTTAATTTCAATTAACCATCTTACTCCAAAGGCCAAACCAGGTTTTACTATCCCAGATCAGGACTAATGCACATCAAACTGGAAAGGTAGGTACACTTGTTTTACTGATGTAGTCTGTGTTAATCTGTACATTATCAGTTGTAAAGACTAAAGAGTAAGTAAGAATGGTAGAAGCTCAGCATTAAGCATCTTGAAGCTTTGCTTGTGTTTATAATTATGAAGCTTTGCATAAGCCCGAACAAAATCATACATGAATCTCTTGTGTTCTGAGCTAAGCAATGCCAAGAAAATAGTTTTGAGGTTAACTTTACGGAACAGCTTAACACACGGAACCTTTTGAGATTATTATTCATTTACATAAACATTCAGTTTACAACAGCCCGGATGCAACAGGAACACAATGCCGGTAGATCGTGAAAGCAGCGGGCTCACCCGATCTATGACAACATATGGGTCACCTTCTTATGAGCATTACAGAACACCACCTAATACTGTATTTGGCATATCTTGACTAACACGCACGACGTACACTGTTAATTCTGGAGCTTCGTGGCTGATTCTCATCCTTGGAACGTACAGTAGTATAAGGGCATCTCCAACGACTGCTCCTTAAATCAGATCCCGCATCCGTCCGTGGACCAGTGGAGAACAGCCCGAGGAAACTGATATGGGAGCCGGCCATTCAGAGCTAGCCGCAAATGTCTTGTTACATTTAAAATGAAATTTAACAAAAGTGAACAAATTTGATGGAAATTTAAACAAGCCGGATGATTTTCAAGCTTGAATAATTTTTACACAAAACTGGATTTCATCCGATGAGCTAAAAGTCATTAAAAAAAATAAACTATCAGATACTTAATGGTGACCTCATACGCCATGCCTGGTTGGCCGGCGGCACCTCCGTCGCCGTCACCAATTGTCGGAGTCGTCGTCGTGGGGCTTCGGGCGGCGCTAGAGCACGTGATCACCACATGGGCTACTACCTCCTAAAAGTCTCGTCTTGGTCTACCATACTAGTGCTTCGCAAGAGAAATTTAGTAGCAAAAACGGTGTGACTAGGTATGGCGGGTAAAGTACATAAACCTCTACAGAGTGTATAAATCAATTATGATTAGCTGAGTCCTCGGCTACGGACAAATTTGTCAAAAACTGTGAGTTTGATCTCATCACCTCTTGTTAATTAAGGGAAACACTTCACATCATACTGATAGAAGCTAATCATCAAACCGATGGACAACCGTTGATTCTGGTTCCATCCCACGGCCACGACCATGCACCCAATCCCACGTAACATCCCATAATTCGATACCTACCTCCCCTGATTTCTTGGTTAGGATCCTATCTCTCTCAAATCATCTCTTTCCAACTCACGTTCAGCTCAGCATCCAAATCCAACGTGCCGCCCAAGGATCACTAAGATGCCGGAGGGGCAAGAAGTCCATGAACAATGGCCGCACGCAGCAAATGGTGGAGCGGGGCAATGGCGAGGATGAAGAGGAGCGGTGAAAGGGGGTCGCCCTGTCGGAGGCCACGACGGTGCCAGAAAGATTGGCCGAGGCATCCATTGAGCAGGACCGCAGAGGAGGCTGTGGAGAGGATTGAAGTAATCCAATCACGCCAACGAGGGTTGAATCCCATTTCCTGAAGAAACTCTAACAAATATTCCCAGGACAGGGAGTCGAAAGCTTTTGCAATATCCAGTTTGAAGAGCACAGCAGATTTACTGGCCCGATGTAAGGCAGCCCTGAACGTACATGAAGCTGTCATGTACTCCCTCCGTCCGAAAATACTTGTCGGAGAAATGAATGTATCTAGACATAATTTAGTTCTAGATACATTCATTTTCATCCATTTCCGCGACAAGTAATTCCGGACGGAGGGAATATACATTTACCCTTATGAGTAGATGGATGCGGCGATTCGGTGCCCGAGCTCTGATGCTTCCGAAATCGCCGCGGTCCAGTATAGTCTCGGGATGTGGAAAATTCGGTCTGACAGGGACGCGAATAAATCTCGTAATGTGGCGTACAGGTCGAATACGGTACAAAACAGTGGTCTAGGAATGGGCCCAATTCGCGAGTAACGTGGCCTTTCTGATCCGTGGATCAGAACGTTAGCTTTTCGGCTGAGCCAAGCACAGGTAGGCCAAGACCCGAAAGGAACTGCAGGCAGAGGGGCGATTCCTGAGCGACCCCGCCGGCTTTCCCGCGTTCCGCCGGTGGATCGGCGGCCTCGCCGTCGCTCGAGTGTGGGTAGGGCCTGATCTACCGGCTCGACTTGTGTATAGCCGTAGTTAGGTCGTAGCTAGGGTTCCGGCGTCCAGCCGTTCGTCCTTGGGGCGCGGCGGCGGCGGCTGATTGGTTTGTCTGCCACTGATCCATCTCCAGGGGGTTGAATAAGGCTTCCTCCAGCATCTACTACGCCTCTGGTGGCACGTCCAGCGCCAGATCCGTTGTTGATTCCGGGTGGATTGGGTCTACCGGAGTTCCTTCTTCCTCGCCAACTGCATCGGCCATCTACTGACAGGGTTAACCCTGAAGCACCTGGGGGGAAGAAAAGGTCAGTTGACATAACTCGGTTTGCTATGCTATAGCATGAACATAATACCTGCTTTTTAGCCTGGGAGTTACTGATTTTTTTGGTTCAGGACGCACCTAGAAACTGGTAAACAAAGAGTAGCTGAAATCCAGACGCTTGTTTATGTGTGATTCATTGGCATATTTCCATGAGCATGGATATTAAACCCCATGTTTAGCTTGTGAGTTAGTTTAAAAAAAAATTCTTGACGCACCTATATAACTAAAAAATCGAGATGAATTGCTGATGCTTGTTTATATGTGATTCATTGGCATATCAACGCTACGGTCAGGAAGACGAAAGTTTAAAAAAATGTGTTTGCTACAGTTGCAATTTTTTTGTGATAAGCAGTAATGTGTTCAGGTTACGCCAGCTCACCTCCAGACAGGACGCCGTGTCCTTCTCGCATGACGAACTGTTATATAATTGTTTCAGAGTGTTGAATTTTTTGGTGGACTGTGCATGCAGGGGAAGCCAGAAGCTGAGAACAGAAGATCTTGCAGGTGCCCTGCATTGGTGTGGATGTCGCGGGCAGCGGACAACTGCTGGTGCATCACAGAGCACCGCGAGGGGCACAACCACTCCATGTCTCTTATGATGGGTGAAAAGGTGCACTGGCCGTCACAACAGCCACATCGATGTGTACACTAAAGATTTGATTACACAGCTCAGGGGGAATAATGTAAACCTTGGAAAAGTGTACATCATCATAGGCAGTTTTTTCGGGTCTGTTCAGAAGGTGCCATTGACAAAAAGGACACTGAGGAACATCTGTCTTAAGAAAAGCCACGAACAGATTGATGATGATGTGAGGAAGACCTTGGAGGTTTTTGCGGACATATTAGCTGGTGATCCCAGCTTCACTTACCGGGTTTTGGCGAACAACGATAGCAGAGTGAAGAACCTGATGTGAACAAATGGTAGCACCCGGATGCAATACCAGTTCTCCGCCGGAGCAGGAGAAGAGTTTCAGGTACGCCCCAGCATCCATAAGTACTAGCACTATTGCTGGATTATATTCTGAATCGGTGCCTGACTCTGTGAAGTGTGCATCTGACAGATGGTTCAAGTTTTGGATCAGCGACAAGCGCGTGGAGCACCAACTTGCTGGCAGTTGATGATACCCAGGATGACGAGGAGGTGAGCTCAAGTGTGTCATATGCATTGTAAATGATTCTGACTCTCCGGGATCTGTCTGAAATTACCCAATCTGGGTGCCATTATTTTGACAGGGTGAAGTAATACATCAGGAGCCCAACCAGGAGAAGCTGCTGAATGTGGAGATGGAAGACAAGGGCATGGATTCTGGTCTGGAGGAAGGTTTCGGCGACCATGATCCTGCTGCTGTTGCCGCCTCGGTGAATCTGACGAGGACCATGGGTCGGGAGTGATCTGTGTAGCAGGGTGATGCTGAATCTGACGGAGAAGGTGAAGTAGACAGTAAGGCAGCGAAACGGCTGAGGACGCAAGATTAGTCTAATTAAACCTAGCGTGCCAGTCTATCAGCATGAAAAAAGTGTAGTTTGAAAGGAAGCGGAGTTTCTACACCCAGGAGCAAATGCTCCTGGTGTGAACAGTGAAATAAAAAAAAATCAAAAAAAAGTTAAAAAATTCTGAATTTTTTTGTGGCATACTTATACAAATGTTTGTTGTGCACGTAAAATTTCATCGCGAAATCACATTGATGAAAGGTGTGGTAAAAAAAACAAAATCGATGCTCTGAAAATGTTACTTACAAAAGCATTTTGGAGCTTTGATTTTGTTTTTTTCGGCACGACTTCCACGAATGTGATTTCGTGATGAATTTTTTCATGCACAAGAAACACTTGCGAAAGTATGTCATAAAAAAATTTCAGATTTTTTTGAATTTTTTTTCTATTTTTTTGATTTTACTGTT